TGCTGGGGTAACCAACAACGGATGCTTGAAATCGCCGACGAGCTTAAGTCCGAGAATTTTTTGCTGGTAAATTCTGGTAAAAGTGTCAAACGATCAGCTGTAGTGTGTTTGGCAACCAAATTGTAAACAAAAGAAAAGTGCACTCTGCTAATTCATGTTGAAAAGTATTTTTTATTTTTTTTTGTAATTTAAAGTTACTTCCTAATTCTTTATAAGAAGAATTAATTGGCCAGCAAAAAAGCTTACAACGCCATCTCCAATGAAAAGTATTTAATTACTTGTTTAAGTGGATTCTAATGAATTTGAAAGTATTTTTGGTTATTTACATGTGTGAGCTGAGTGTGTTTACATACAAAATAAGCAAAAATTTACAACCAAAATTTGGAGGTTATGTTGAAGTTGACAGCAGTTACCATTTTTTACATGAAAGCGATCCCCCAATTCGTCGTTTGTCTTCGTAGCGTATGGACGTGTGAGAAGTTGCAGCGGAATTTTGGAAGTGTTGCTGAAGAGTGGTGGCAGTTATCAATTTATCTGGTGTTCGACGCATAATATTAGTTTAAAGTTATTAAAGTTATAGTTGCTGATTAAAGTTGTTAAATACAATATAGGCACATTATTGTACACCTGAGTAGAGGTGTGTGAGCTCAAATTGTCGTTTTATATCGGGTGAGTGCTTTTTCTGTGGCTGAAAATTTTCTAAATTATAAGTAGCGGTTGTTTCATACACAAAATGGCGGACGCCTCGGCGTCGCCGAGTGATGCCATCATGGCCGGCGTGTCTTATGGACCAACGCCTGCTATTATGGGTAAAAACGCAAAGACTAGAAAAAAAGGGAGACCTGCTCCAATTAATGCCAAAAAAAAGAAAGATAGTGGCATGCAAAATGCGAATTCCTTACTAGAAAACTTCTCTGATTCTAGCGAGGATATTAATTTTGTGCAAAATGAGCCTGAAATTGCACTTAGTGGCATGCTCGTGAAGCGTGGTACGTACAAGTTAGTTCAAACTAATCCCAGTGAAAATTGTGATACTGTGTCGGGTACAGTTATGACCAAAATTGTTTTTTGCGAGAGTGATGGTGAAGGTAAGGGGATTTGTGCCAGTGATGAGGGGGCGCACATGGAAATAGGCGACCAGGGCAAAATTAATGGAGATGATGGGGATTACTTAAATTCAGGCAATTGCAATAATAGGACTGAAAAGAATAAGACGGGTGTGACAAATGTGAAGAGTAGTGACTGCTCAGCGTTTCCCGATGGAAATGCTGTGACTAGCCTTAGGCAAGTTGTTGACGACGGTTATCGGACTGAGCATACGGCATGGAACACAGGTGGGGTACAGGTGATGTCAAATGAGCGTGGAGTTAAAGGCGCTGTTTCCAAAAATCAGAACAAAGAGTCTTCAAAAACTGGTGATAGTGCTGGTAATGATAGTGGGTACAGTCAATTATATCAAGTTGGCTATAGGGGGGAAGCTATTGTACTTATGGACACTTCCAAAAGTGTTAATTTTGAGAACAAAAGGTTGAAGAATGGACTTTTTTTATTTGATAAAATTCGTAAATTTAATTTAGAAGGGATGGACAACATCCTAGCCGTTGGAAGGTCCTTGTACAAGGTATTTTTCAACTCGATCGAAAATGCAAACAAGAGTGTTAGTAACAGCAAATTAAAAGAGATGGGTATTCGGGTTTTTATACCGAGAAGTTTTATGGAGACGTATGGAGTAATACGACAAGTGCCATTGGATTTTCAAGAGGATGAGATTTTTAACAACATGCAATCCAATATAAAAGTTAAGTCCATTTCTCGCATCACGAGGCGTGATCCGGACAATAAAGATAGATTTTTACCTACATTTTCTATCAAGATTGGGTTTGAGGGTAATGCGATCCCTGAAACTATTAAGATTTTTTGCGTGAACTTTAAGGTGTGCCACTTTTTCCCCAGGGCAAAACAGTGCTTCAACTGCGGGAGGTTAGGCCACACCAAATTATCTTGTAGAGCCAAAAACCGATGTATCATTTGTGGTAAAGACGAGAGGTATGTAGGAAAGTGTACTGGAAGTGAGACTAAATGTATTTTGTGCGGTGGGGATGATCATGTGTCTGTCAACAAGAATAAGTGCCCAAGTTGGGAAAAAGAGAAAAATGTAATTGAGATTATGACGATAAAGAAGATGTCGAAGCGCGAGGTCTATGACTCGTATGGGGATACACTATCCAATAACAGATTTTCTATTTTAGAAGATTATGGTACAAATTTTCCCGTATTAGGTGGGAATGGTGGAAATATACAAGATAATGAGGTTATAGTTAATAGGACTCTGACTAAGAAAAGGTATAATCAGGTGACAAAAATGAATGTGAGGCAGGAAAGGGTAGTAAATAGTAAAAGCAAAAGTACTGAGATAAAAGGAGGTAGTAAACCGGTTTTTGAAAATACTAAGTGGGAGAGAACATCGGAGATTGAAAAGCTTTTAAATTTGTTAGTTGAAAAGTTTAATATTCAAGCGGATGAACCTATATTAAAGGTTTTAAGTCTTCTGGTTAAAGAAAATGTGAATGACAGACTTAAAGTTAGTTCAATCAATGATGGCAGTAAAGATTTTACAACTTAATTGTCAGAGCCTGAAAGCTAATCGTAGCTACATTGAATATTTTATTGAGCACAACAGTATTGATATTGTTGTTCTCCAGGAAGTGTTTTCCTTGGGGGATATTAAAGAAGGTCACAAGTTAATAGACTTTAATTTAGTTATTAAGAATCGTCCTGATGGGTATGGAGGAGTTGCTATAGGGGGTAGGAAGAATATAAAGTTGCAGCGTGTAAGGTTTAATACAGTACATGACATAATAGTGGTTAAAACTACAAATCTTGATAGAAATCTGTTGATTGTTTCAGCATATTTTCCGCCTGGAACGAATAGGTTTCTTTTGGATTATGAGTTGAGTAAATTGTTATTGTTTTTGGATGGTAAAGAAGAGGTTCTGCTGCTTGGTGATTTTAATGCCAAAATGCGGGACTGGGGGTGTAATAAAGACGATCCTAAGGGTAGAGTGCTCAAAAATGCTACAATGAAGGCTGGGCTGGTATGTTTAAATAATGGCAATCCGACTTTTGTGGTAAATAGGGTGACTCAGCAGGGTTTATCTGTGCTGGATCTATCGTTCACAAATATTTCTGGAGGGTTAAAATGGGAATGTAATCTGGGATATGTTGGGGGAAGCCATCATAGGCCCATTGTTATTGAAGTAGAAAATGTAGCTAAAAGGCCTAATATGTTTTTGCAAAAGAGAAAACTTGCTTCTGCTCTTGCGGGTTGTGTTGTTAGTGGGGGGCTGGATAGTATTGTAAATGCAGTACAAAATGAGATTAAGAATGCGTCAATTGATTTAAATTCTCTCAAAAGATCCCCTAAGGCTTGGTGGAATGAGGAGCTAAAAAAGCGTTTTAGGCTGGTTTTGGCGGCGAGGAAAAAAGCTGCTTTAACGAACTGTGTTCAGGATTTTGAAAAACTCCGACAATTAGAGGAGGTGTGGAAGAAAGAGGTAAAAGAGGCCAAAAGTAATAGTTACAAATCTAGAATAATGCAATTGAATGAATGTCCAAACTCTGGTGATGCTTGGAGATTTGTTAATCAAGTTAAAGGAGGTAGATATGGTACTAAGTGGATTAGTGAGGATAACGGCAGATATCTCACCCATCTTAAGAATCAGGTGGATCAGCAGGGTGGCAACAGTGGTTGGCGAGTCTTAAGTGGACCCAGTATGGTTAATGAAAGAGATGAGGTAGTTAGTTTCTTGGTTGAGGATCTGGATGTTGTGTTAAAACGGAAAAAGAAATCTGCTGGTGGAGCTGACAGAATTACGTTTGATATGGTCAATAAACTGCCATATGAAACGAAATTATGTCTTGTGAGAGAGTTAGAATCTTGTTTCAATAGTAACATTGTAAAAGAGGAGTGGAGAACGATTAAGATTGTTCCGATTCCAAAAGCCAATAAAGATTTAAGTGATTTTAGGAATTTTAGGCCGATTTCATTACTTTCTGTTGTGGTGAAATGTCTGAACATGTTAATTAAGGATAGATTGAATAATTGGGTTGAAAGTAACAATATCTTACCATGCAATAGCTTTGCGTATCGCAAAGGGAAGTCGGCCTCGATGTGCCTAAATGAATGCTTGCATTGGGCTGGTAGGCTTAAACAAGGGAAAAAGAAAGTGTTTATGTGTGTATTAGATATATCTGATGCTTACAATTGTGTTGATATCTCACTGCTGGGGGAAATTTTGGCTGGGTTTAGGGTGGAAAATAAGATTCGTAACTGGGTGGTAAATTTCTTTTCCAGGAGGGTTTTGGTTTTGGGAAAAGATAGGGTGGAGGTTTCAAATGGTCTTCCTCAAGGTAGCTGCTTATCGCCACTGTTGTTTAACCTATATACTGCAAGTTTGCACTGCTTGGGTGGTGATAACATAAAAGTCTTTCAGTTTGCTGATGATTTTGCGCTATTATGTAACGGGAACAGTTATTGTGAGGCAATTGATAGGTTAAATTTTAAGTTAAATGAAATTAGAACCATGCTTAATAGCTTAAATCTGAATATTAATGTCAGTAAAACTAAATTTCTATTAATGAATTCAACTAGTAATAAAACTTTTTCGCTTAGACTGGATGGGACGGAAGTGCAGCAGGTAAAGAGTATTAAATGGTTGGGTAGGACCATTTGTGCTAATGCGTCAATAAGTAATCATGTGGATAAGGTAAAAAGCGCTGCAAGTTCAGGCAAAAATCTGATTAAGAAGCTTACGAATATTAAGGGGGGGTTGGAACCCAAAGTGGCTATCAACTTCTATAAAACCTTTATTAGAAGTAAAGCTGAATATGCCAACACGAC